TTCTTATCTCTCTGGTCGGAATTGATTTTTGGCAACAAAAGCCCGCAAACGCACACAAACAACACAACAAATGTGCGCGGCCCTTCCTTTCATCCCAGCCATTGACTTCTATAATAGGCTCCTTTAATGTGAGGGAATTTACTGGGTCGAAAGAAAGAAAGAAAGAAAGAAAGAGAGAGGGGAAAGATGGATTTTCCTTTTAACTTCGGTTAAAGTTCGGACTGCAAACCGGAGCGGGTTCGGGGTGGTAGGGAAGCCAGTAGCCACCCATAGGCCTTGGCAGCTATTTCTTTCCTACTTTCGTTTGGATGGAGTGGGTCACTTGAGGTCATATAGACACAAAAATGCAGGGGTCACTTAAGGTCATATAGACCAACCACTAATAACAATAATAATAACAACAACAACTACTACTACAACAATAATGCTATTACTATAATACTGCTATTATTAGTGTGTTATTATTATATAGTATAAATTATTTATTACTATTATGGCTATAATATTGTTATTATTGTTATTGTGTTATTATTATATAGTATACATTATTATTATTATTATTATTATTATTATTATTATTATTGCTATAATACTTCCATTATTGTTAATGTGTTATTATATACTATACATTATTATTGCTATTACTATAATACTGCTATTATTGCTATTGCGTTATTATATGGTATACATTATTATTATTGTTATTGCTATTACTATAATACTGCTATTATTATTATTGTGCTATTATTATATAGTATACATCATTATTATTGCTATTACTATAATACTATTATTATTGTGTTATTATTATATAGTATACATTATTATTAATATTATTATTATTGCTATTACTATATTATTATTATTGTGTAATTATTATATAGTATACATTATTATTACTGCTGTTACTATAATACTATTATTGTTCTTGTGTTATTATTATATAGTATACATTATTAGTAATATTATTATAATTGCTATTACTATAATACTATTATTATTGAGTTGTTACTATATAGTATACATTATTATTATTATTGCTATTAATATAATATTATTATTATTATTGCTATCACTATAATACTTCTATTATTGTGTTATTATATAGTATACATTATTATTATTGCTATTACTATAATACTATTATTATTGTGTTATTATTATATAGTAAACAATATTATTATTATTGCTATTACCATAATACTATTATTATTATTATTATTATTATTATTATTATTGGGTTATTATATAGTATACATTATTATTATTATTGCTATTACTATACTACTACTACTACTACTATTATTATTATTATTATTGGGTTATTATTATATAGTATACATTATTATTATTATTATTGCTATTACTGTATTATCATTATTATTATTATTATTGGGTTATTATTATATAGTATACAATATTATTATTATTATTATTGCTATTACCATATTATTATTATTATTATTATTATTATTGGGTTATTATATAGTATACATTATTATTATTATTGCTATTACTATACTACTACTACTACTACTATTATTATTATTATTATTGGGTTATTATTATATAGTATACAATATTATTATTATTATTATTGCTATTACCATAATATTATTATTATTATTATTATTATTATTATTATTATTATTATTATTATTATTGGGTTATTATATAGTATACATTATTATTGCTATTACTATAATACTATTATTATTATTATTATTATTATTATTATTATTGAGTTATTATTATATAGTATACAACATTATTGTTATTATTATTATTATTATTACTATTACTATTATAGCTATTACCATAATACTATTATTATTATTGTTGTTGTTGTTGTTGTGTTATTATTATATAGTATACATTATTAAAGATAAAGGTTTTCCCCTGACATGAAGTCCAGTTGTGTCCGACTCTTGAGACTCTGGTGCTCATCTCAATTTCTAAGCCAAAGAGCCGGCATTGTCCACAGACACCTCCAAGATCATGTGGACTGCGTGGAGCGCCATTATACATTGTTATAGTATACATCATTATTATTATTATTATTATTATTATTATTATTATTATTATTATTATTATTGCATTGTTGTTATTTTGGGTGCCGTTTCCTAGAATATTTCAGATCTCTTTGGTCCCCGGAGGGATTTTGCCTCCCAAAGCCGGGGACGATGGGAGTTGCAGTTCCCAGGACACCCAGAAACTAGGGATTCCGGGAGGGAAAAGGACACCCAACGATGCAGAGGGCGAAGGGAGGCGGGTGCTCATCTCCCCATTCAAGCGCTGTCTGGCGCCCTTCCGGATAAACTCATTAACTTTTATGGCGTAATAAATGGATTCTATTAAAACATAATTCCCTCCTCGCGGCGGGGAGTGCCTTCGCCACTTTGCGCATGGCCCAAGGAAAGGGTGCGCAGGAAGGCCTCTGCTGGCTTCTATCATTATTATTATTATTATTATTATTATTATTGTATTTACTTCCTTTGTTGCAGCGCCACACTACGGGCTCATGCTCAGCTTTTATGGATATCATAATAATAGTAATTTCATAACAGTGGCAATAATAATAATTCTTAATAATAATAATTCTTATTAATAATTAATAAGAATAATAATAATGAATATTATTAATAAGTAATTATTGTTAATATTTATTATTAATATTAATAATATTAATAATTAATAATTCTTAATAATAATAATAAATAATAATAATTCTTAATAATAATAATTCTTATTAATAATTAATAAGAATAATAATAATGAATATTATTAATAAGTAATTATTGTTAATATTTATTATTAATATTAATAATATTAATAATTAATCATTCTTAATAATAATAATAAATAATAATAATTCTTAGTAATAATAATTTTATTATTATTGTATTGTATTTGCCTGCTGCATCGCCACACTACTGGCTCATGCTCGGCTTTTATGGATATTATAATAATAGTAATTTCATAACGGTGGCAATAATAATAATAATAATAATAATAATAATAATAAGCAATTGTGCTATTATTATATAGTATACATCACTAATATTATTGCTATTACTTTAATACTGCTATTATTGTTATTGTGTTATTATAATATTGTATTTGCCTCCTTTGCTGCATCGCCACAATACTTTAATTAATATTATTAATATTAATAATATTGATATTAAGGATATTAATATTATTAATATGAATAATATGAATATTATTAATAATATTAATAATATTAATAATATTATTATTAATTAATATTATTAATAATAATCATTCTTATTAATTATTATTATTATTCTATTGTATTTGCCTCCTTTGCTTCATCTCCACACTCCTGGCTCATGCTCAGCTTTTATGGATATTATAATAATAGAAATTTCATAATAGTGGCAATAATAATAATAATAATATATTTTAATAATAGTAATTTCATAATAGTGGCAATAATAATAATAATAATAAATAATTAATATTATTAATAAGTAATTGTGCTATTATTATATAGTATACATCACTAATATTATTGCTATTACTTTAATACTGCTATTATTGTTATTGTGTTATTATTATATTGTATTTGCCTCCTTTGCTGCATCGCCACAATACTTCAATTAATATTATTAATATCAATATTTATATTAATATTATTAATATAATTAATAATTAATACTATTTAATATTAATATTTATTAATATTAATAATAATTTTATTATTATTAATATTATTATTATTATATTGTATTTGCCTTTTTTGCTGCATCATCACACTACTTTAATATTATTAATATTAATATTAATGATATTAATATTATTATTAATAATATTAATATTTTAATAATTAATATTAATTATAAATATTAATAATAATTCTTATTAATAATAATTTTATAATTATTATATTGTATTTGCCTCCTTTGCTGCATCGCCACACTACTTTAATTAATATTATTAATATTAATATTAATGATATTAATATTATTAATAATATTAATATTAATAATATTAATATTTTAATAATTAATAATATTAATTATTAATATTAATAATAATTCTTCTTAATAATAATTTTATTATTATTATATTGTGTTTGCCTCCTTTGCTGCAGCGCCACACTCCTGCCTCATGCTCGGCTTTTATGGATATTATAATGATAGTAATTTCATAATAGTGGCAATAATAATAATAATAATAATAATAATAATATATTTTAGTAATAGTAATTTCATAATAGTGGAAATAATAATAATAATAATAATAATAATAATAATATTTTAATAATAGTAATTTCATAATAGTGGCAATAATAATAATAATAATAATAATATATTTTAATAATAGTAATTTCATAATAGTGGCAATAATAATAATAATATATTTTAATAATAATAATTTCATAATAGTGGCAATAGTAATAATATATTATAATAATAGTAATTTCATAATAGTGGCAATAATAACATAATAATAATTTCATAATAGTGGCAATAATAATAATATATTTTAATAATAGTAATTTTATAATAGTGGCAATAATAACATAATAATAATTCATAATAGTGGCAATAATAATGATATATTTTAATAATAATAATTTCATAATAGTGGCAATAATAATAATATATTTTAATAATAGTAATTTCATAATATTGGTAATAATAATTATAATAATATATTATAATAATAGTAATTTCATAATTATAATAATATATTTTAATAATAGTAATTTCATAATAGTGGCAATAATAATAATAATAATAATAATAATAATAATAATAATAATATTGTATTTGCCTCCTTTGCTGCAGCGCCACACTACTGCCTCATGCTTGGCTTTTATGGATATTATAATAATAGTAATTTCATTGTACTGGTAATAATAATAATAATAATAATAATAATACAATCATTAATAATACTCCTAATAATGAATGTATTACACACCTGTTGTCCTGAGATTCGAACCCAGGTCTCTTCCTCTCTTGACGCAGGTCTCTCCGAGGGGAAGACTGACCATCCCATTGTCCCCGAGGTCCCAACGGCGGCCCCGACCCCGGAAGAGAGGGAGCGCGAGGAAGAAGCCCCCTTTGCCACCACGGCGCCCACCTTGAAGCTCCTGGACCACCACCCGCCCCTCGAGAACTTCCTCCACGGGGCCCTGCTCAAGAAGGACTACTTCCTGCCCGAGGGACTCCTCGAACCCGGGGCCGGAGACCCCAAGGTGGACCCCACCCAGGCCCAAGGCACCACTGACCGGCCGGCCAGCTCTATGCGGCCGGAATTTGGCCGGACGGAGACACCGGGACCTCTTGGCTTCTCGAATTCGGAACCAGGGACTCTGGCGGCCACCACCATCGCGGCCACTGTGCCGTCTCCAGGTGCAAAAAGCATTCATTTTTATTATTATTATTATTATTATTATTATTATTATTATTATTATTTATCATTATTATCATTATTAATCATCATTATTTATTGAAGTCAATTGGCTTCAATTATATTATTATTATTTATCATTATTATTTTTAATCATCATTATTTATTGAATTGGCTTCAGTTATATTATTATTATTATTTAATTATTTATTATTATTATCATTATTATTATTTTTAATCATCATCATTATTTATTGAAGTCAATTGGCTTCAATTATATTATTATTATTATTATTATTTATTAATCATCATTATTTATTGAAGTCATTTGGCTTCAATTATATTATTATTATTATTTATATTTATTTATTTATTATCATTATTATTTTTAATCATCATCATTATTTATTGAACTCAATTGGCTTCTATTATTATTATTATTTTAATCATCATCATTCTTTATTGAACTCAATTGGCTTCAATTATATTATTTTATTATATTTATTTATTTATTTATTATTAATCATCATCATTATTTATTGAAGTCAATTGGCTTCAATTATATTATTATTATTGTTGTTATTATTATTATTATTATCATTATTATTTTTAATTATCATCATTATTTATTGAAGTCAATTGGCTTCTAGGCTCCAAAGCAGAGTGGAGGGTGAGTCCTGGCTCCCCAAGACTGAGATAAGGAATTATATCCATTATTTGAAGGTCCAGAAGATGATTATGATGATGGTGAGGACATTGTATTGTATTTGATGGGAAACTATATCTCTCTGTCTGCAGGCGGTCCTTGCAGCTGGAACCTGACGGGCCCGAAAGGGTCCTTGGCCTCGCCACTGCCCTCCGGCCTGCCCTACAAGCCTGGCGTGACCTTGGAGTGCGTTTACTCCATCTCCGTCTACCCGGGATACGGGGTCGAGATCCGGGTAAGCCCTTAGCGCCGAGAGACGTAGTTTCCGACATTAGTTTCCCCGGTCTGATGGATGGGAATAGCCTATTCCTTCTTCAGGTGGGTCACACTCTCTCAGCCTTAAAGATGACAACACAGAATAATAATAATAATAATAATAATAATGTACATATTATATTATATACATTAGATCCATTATTATATTATTATAATATAATAGTTTTTAGATTATATCCATTATATCCATTATTATATTATAATATACTAATGTTTATATTATATTACATACATTATATACATTACTATATACATTATATCCATTATTATATTATTATAATATAATAATGATTAAATTATATTACATACATTATATACATTATTATATCCATTATATCCATTATTATATTTTATACAATATCTCCATTATTATATTATTATAATATAATAATGTTTACATTATATCCTTTATATCCATTATTATATTATAATATACTAATGATTAGATTACATACGTTATATAATTATATACATTATATCCATTATTATATTATATTCATTATATCCATTATTATATTATAATATAATAATGTTTAGATTATATTACATACTTTATATACATTATTATATCCATTATATCCATTATTATATTATATACATTATATACATTATTGTATTATAATATAATAATGTTTAGATTATATACATTATATCCATTATTATATTATAATATACTATTGTTTATATTATATTACATACATTATATCCATTATTATTACATATATTATATCCATTATTATATATGCATTATATCCATTTTTATATTATAACATACTAATGTTTATATTATATTATATACGTTATATACATTATTATAACAATTATATCCATTATTATATTATTATAATATAATAATGTTTAGATTATTTTACATACATTATATCCATTATTATATACATTATATACATTATTATATTATAACTTATATCCATTATTATATTATTATAATATAATAATGTTTGGATTACATACATTATATCCATTATTATATTATAATATGTTTATATTATTATATACATTATATCCATTATTATATTATAACCATTATATCAATTATTATATTATTATATACTATATTATATTATATACATTGTATATAATGTATATGTTTAGATTATATACATTATATCCATTATTATATTATAATATGCTACTGTTTATATTATATTATATACATTATATACATTATTATATTATAATACTAGAATAATGGATATAATGTATATAATACATACATTATTATTAATATCCTGTGTTGTGGTTGTTGTGAACCTGGATGGTGGGAACTGGATGGCGGAAACGAGGCTGAGAGAGTGTGACTCCCATATTGTGGATCAAGCAGGGTTTCAATCCATCTCATTTCGGGCGTAATGAGCACCAGCCGCCGTTCGTCACTGTAATTACTGTAATTAATATGCAATCAGCGCCGTAATGAGCGGCGGCGGTTGCTCGTTCGTCATCATGAGCGATGTGTCTGGGAGCGAAACAGCTTCGGAAACTTGTATCGTGCCTCTGAGCATGTGCAGAGTGTAATCAGACCAATGGGGTTGGACTGAATGACCTCAAGGATGCCTCTTTCCACCGTTCGTCACTGTAATTACTGTAATTAATATGCAATCAGCGTCGTAATGAGCGGCGGCGGTTGCTCTTTCGTCATAATGAGCGATGTGTCTGGGAACGAAACAGCTTCGGAAATTTTTATCGTGTCTCTGAGCATGTGCAGAGTGTAATCAGACCAATGGGGTTGGACTGGATGACCTCAAGGATGCCTCCTTCACCGTTCGTCACTGTAATTACTGTAATTAATATGCAATCAGCGCCGTAATGAGCGGCGGTGGTTGCTCGTTCGTCATAATGAGCGATGGGTCTGGGAGCGAAACAGCTTCGGAAACTTGTGTCGTGTCTCTGAGCATGTGCAGAGTGTAATGAGGTTGGATTGCATGACCTCAAGGATGCCTTCTTCCACGTTAGGTGCAGAACATCAGCCTCTCGGAAGGCGAGACGGTCACCATAGAGACTTTGGGAGGAGTGGATCCCATCGCTCTGGCCAACGAGTCCTTCCTAATGCGGGGTCAAGTGATCCGGGGACCGACCAATCAGGCGCTGATCCGCTTCCAGAGCCCCTGGCCAGCCAATCCGGGAAGCTTCCACTTCCACTTCGAAGGTGAGCCCCATCTAGTGGCCGGGGAGGGGAGTGCGGCCCTTCCGCTTGACCTGAAATAACCTCCAGGGGGCAGTCTTGCATAATAATTATAAATAATAATGTAAATAATATAATATTGTATAATATTGTAGCTTATTATAATTAATAATATTATTATTCATATTTATTATTAAAATTTATTATATATGATAAATACAGTGTAATTATTAATAACACTAATCCTTATTTGTCTTAATTTGATATTTCAATATATCAGTATTACATATTATACATAATATATCAATATTCTATATCATATACAATATTATAATATAATATACTATACATAATAATTATATATATATATTCAGTAGTTATATTATCACATTAAGTTTGTTCTTATTTGTCTTATTTCAATATCAATATTACATATTATACATTATATATCAATATTCTATATCATATACAATATTATAATATAATATACTATACATAATAATTATATATATATATTCAATAGTTATATTATCACATTAAGTTTGTTCTTATTTGTCTTATTTCAATATCAATATTACATATTATACATAATATATCAATACTCTATATCATATACAATATTATAATATAATATACTATACATAATAATTATATATATATATATATATATATATATATATATATATTCAATTATTATATTATCACATTAAGTTTGTTTTGATTTCTCTTAATTTGCTTTCAATTCCTCTATTTCAATATCAATATTATATATTATCTGATAATATTATATATTAAACATAATTTCATATAATATATATATATATATATATATATAAAATCTTGATTATATATATATATATATATATATATATATATATATATTCAATACTTATATTATCACATTAAGTTTGTTTTTATTTCTCTTAATTGGCTTTCAATCCTTCTATTTCAATATTATATATTATATAATATATTATACATAATTACATATATATATTATCGATATTATATATATATATATATATATATATATATATATATATTCAATAATGTTATTATCACTTTTAGTTTGTCTTTATTTCTATTAATATGCTTAATTACAATCCCTCTATTTCAATACTAATATTATTATTATATTATACGAATATTATTATTATATGATTATATTGCATAGAATTAATAATAATAAATATAAATAATAATAGCAATATTATATAATAATAATATTGAAATTGAGAGGTTACAAGCAAACTAAGACAATAATATTACATATAATTGATCAATAAAATATTATTACTATTTTATATGAATATTATTATATGATTATATTGCATATGATTAATAATAATAATAAATATAAATAATAATAGCAATATTATACAATAATAATAATAATAATATTGAAATTGAGAAGTTACAAGCAAACTAAAAACAATAATATTACATATAATTGATCAATAATATTACTTTTCCTTTATCCGATTTGTCCACTTGACCCACTCCATAATAACACTTCATTAAATTCTATACTTTCGCAACACCAATTGGTAGCTACATGGTCAGTAAGGGTATCCTGTCCGCTCCGGGTTTTAGTCCGAACTTTACACTTGTTCTCCATTCTTTGGAGGAGTCCTGAAGTCCAAAATCAGGAGAGAGAAAAATAGTCAATGGATGCAAGTAAATTTACAGAATCGAGGCAAAGCAAGCAGAGGATATAAAGTTCGGACTAAAACCCGGGCCAAATTGTGAGTGTTGCCAATCCTAGTCCAATACTTGAGTGTCAAGGAGGACCCCCCCGCCCAACTTGGGCAAGCCCCCTTATGCACATGCATAGGCAACATCTGGAGCCCAATTAGCTAATTGGGATCTTGCTAATTACCTCCGGCGCTAATCGCCGGCGCCGCCAGGTTAAAGCGGGCGCCCACCGAAGAGGGGCCTTAATGGCGAGATAATTGGTCCCGGCAATTAAGGGAATTGGTGCGCGTCTCCGCATCCCTGTGTTGTGTTACCACGCTAACTTAGGTGCCCGGCGATGCCCGGCAAGGCCCAGAATATAGGCAAACTACAACTCCCATCATCACCTGTCATTGTCCAACACTGCCACATTTGGACCAGATGGGTCATATTGATTGATTGATTGATTGTGTTTTGTTATCACGCTAACTTAGGTGCCCGGCGATGCCCAGGTTCGGTCTTTTAAGCATGGAGAATGTGGGCAAACTACAACTCCCATCATCCCCTGTCATTGTCCAACCCTGCCACATTTGGACCAGATGGGTCATATTGATTGATTGATTGATTGATTGATTGTGTTTTGTTATCACGCTAACTTAGGTGCCCGGCGATGCCCAGGCTCGGTCTTTTAAGCATGGAGAATGTGGGCAAACTACAACTCCCATCATCCCCTGTCATTGTCCAACCCTGCCAAATTTGGACCAGATGGGTCATAATAATTGATTGATTGTGTTTTGTTGTCACGCTAACTTAGGTGCCCAACGATGCCCAGGTTCGGTCTTTTAAGCATGGAGAATGTGGGCAAATTACAACTCCCATCATCCCCTATCATTGTCCAACCCTGCCAAATTTGGACCAGATGGATCATATTGATTGATTGATTGATTGATTGATCCCTCCCTGTTTCTTCTGTAGCCTACCTTCTGAGCTGCGCCTTCCCTTCCCGCCCGGCCTACGGAGACGTGGCGGTCACCAGCGTCCACCCCGGCGGCCACGCTTGTTTCTCCTGCACCAACGGCTACCAACTGACCGGCCAGCGCTGCCTCACCTGCCTCAACGCCACCCACCCCTTTTGGGACGAACGGCTGCCGACTTGCGTGGGTGAGTTGCCTCTCCGCTCCGGGTTCTTGTCCGAACTTTGATGGCATTGGGTCTGAGAGCGAGACAGCATGGAGTCTGCGTATCTGGCCATACGATCGCACAGAGCCATGGCCAACAACGTAGGCTCTGGGATGAACAGCTGCCAACTTGCGTGGGTGAGTTGCCTCTCCGCTCCGGGTTCTAGTCCGAACTTTGACAGCATTGGGTCTGAGGGAGAGACAGCATGGAGTCTGGGTATCTGGCCATACGATCGCACAGAGCCATAGCCAACAGACTTGCGATCACTGGAGAAATCTGGTGGCAGGTTCACAACAACCACAACACAAAATAATAATAATAATAATAATAATAATAATGTATATATTATATTACATACATTACATACATTATTATATTATAATAATGCAATCTAAACATTATTATTTATATTTATTATTATTTCTAATATGTAATATAATAAAGGTAACATAATATATTATAATAAATATACATTATTGTATTATAATAATATAATAATATCTATTATATTATATACGCTATATGCGTTATATATAATATACTAATTATTAAATTATATTATGTTATATTCATTATTACATTAAAATAATATACTGATGATTATATTATATATATCAATTATATACATGATTATATTTTATAATATAATGTTTATATCATATTATATACATTATATACATTATTATAATTATTATATTATACTATATACATTGTATATATTATTATATTATAATAATATACTAATTTTTGTTATATTACATACATTATATACATTATATTATAATAATATACTCATGTTTATATTATACTATATACATTATATATATTATTATATTATAATAATATACTCATGCATATATTATATACATTACATACATTATTATATTATAATAATATACTAATGTTTATATTATACTATATACATTATATACATTATTATATTATAATAGTATAATAACGTGTATTATATTAAATATATTATGAACATTATTGTGTTATAAAAATATGTTTATATTATATTACATACATTATATACATTAATGTATTATAATAATATAATAAGTTTTGAATTATATTACATACATTATGTACATTATTGTATTATAATAATATAATGTTTGTATTGTACTATATACATTATATACATTATGATATTATAATAAAATACTAATGTTTATATTATATTACATACATTATATACATGATTGTATTATAATAATATAAAGTTTGTATTGTATTATATACATTATATACATTATTGTATTATAATAATATACTAATGTTTATATTATAGTATATACATTATATATATATCATTATATTATCGTAATATACTAATGCATATATTATATTACATACACTATATACATTATAATATTATCATAATATACTCACATTTATATTATACTATATACATTATATACATTATTATATTATAATAATATGCTCATGTTTATTATATTATATTATATTATATTATATTATATTATATTACATACATTATATACATTATGGTATTATAATAATATATTGTTTAATTATTATATTACATGCATTATGTACATTATTGTATTGTAATAATATAATAATGTTTGTATTATATTACACACATTATATACATTGGGGGAGAAATGCTGGGCATAAATAAATAATAATAATAATAACAACAACAACAACAACAACAGAGTAGATTTGGCATTGAGTTTTCATCCAAAATGCTGGACATTAGGAAAATATCTTTTGGGAGCTCCGTCCGAATTCGGACCGAAACCCAAACATCGGGTTTTAGTACGAACTTTAATGAAGTGATGGACTCCATTTGGGGTGAGTTTGAGTCCAAACTTTAATGAAATGCCTTTCAAGTTCGGACTGCTACCCGGAGCGGATTCAACGTCAGAGGTCCGGTTCAGGAGGCTGGTCGTCCCGATCCCCTCCCGGTGCCCCATTGACCCCTACTCTTTTGTCCTTCCGTGGCAGCGTCCTGTGGTGGCGTGGTCCGCAATGCCAGCACGGGCCGGATCGTGTCCCCGGGCTTCCCCGGCAACTACAGCAACAACCTGACTTGCCATTGGCTGCTGGAGGCTCCTCCGGGGCAGCGGCTGCACCTGCATTTCGAGAAAGTCTCCCTGGCCGAGGATGATGACCGGTGAGTCGAATGTCCAGGATCCGAACCCGATGCTTTTGCACCATCTCACATTATTTTTTGCACAAAATCGTGGGAAAACGTGGTTTTTTGCAGGCTGATCATCCGCAACGGGAACGACATTGAGGCGCCGCCGGTGTACGACTCCTACGAGGTCGAGTACCTCCCCATCGAGGGCTTGGTCAGCGCCGCCCGTGGGTTCTTCGTCGAACTGACCACTGACAGTAGTGGCGTGGCGGCCGGTGTGGCCCTGCGCTACGAGGGTGAGCCCCACAAAACCCCATTGCACACCCCATTGCCACGTGCCCTATATATAATCAGGGGGATGCTAATTCCACGGACCCAACTCAGTCCCGTTGTGGAAATGTGGCCTGCCACGTGTCCTATATATAAACACAGGGATCCTAATTCCACGGTTCCGACTCGGCCCCGTTGTGGAAATGTGGCCTGCCACGTGTCCTATATATAACCAAGGGGATTCTAATTCCACGGCTCCGACTCAGCCCCGTTGTGGAAATGTGGTCTGGCACATGTCCTATATATAACCAAGGGGATCCTAATTCCACGGCTCTGACTCAGCCCTGTTGTGGAAATGTGGCCTGCCACGTGTCCTATATATAACCAGGGGGATCCTAATTCCACGGCTCCGACTCGGCCCCGTTGTGGAAATGTGGCCTGCCACGTGTCCTATATATAACCAGGGGGATGCTAATTCCACGGCTCCGACCCAGCCCCATTGTGGAAATGTGGCCTGCCACGTGTCCTATCTATAACCAGGGGGATCCTAATTCCACGCCTCCGACTCAGCCCTGTTGTGGAAATGTGGCCTGCCACGTGTCCTATATATAACCAGGGGGATGCTAATTCCAGGGCTCTGACCCAGCCCCGTTGTGGAAATGTGGCCTGCCACGTGTCCTATCTATAACCAGGGGGATCCTAATTCCACGGCTCCGACTCGGCCCCATTGTGGAAATGTGGCCTGCCACGTGCCCTACATATAACCACAGCTTCGACTGTGGCCTCCTCAACCGTGTCTCTCTCTGCTTAGCCTTCGAGCCGGGCCATTGCTACGAGCCCTTCGTCAAGTACGGCAACTTCACGGCCAGCGACGCCTCCTACGCCGTGGGCACCACCGTGGAGTTCGCCTGCGAGGCCGGCTACACCCTGGAGCAAGGATCTGTCATCATCGAGTGCGTCGACCCCGAAAACCCCCAGTGGAACGAGACTGAGCCCGCCTGCAGAGGTGGGCCCAAGGGACGGGGGGGGGGGGGGGGGGGGGGGCTCATGTTGCACTATTATTATTATTATTATTATTATTATTATTATTATTATTACATCAGTGAAAGCTGAGCATGAGCCAGGATGTGTGGCGCTGCAGCAAAAGAGGCAAATCCTATTATTATTATTATTATTATTATTATTATTATTATTATTATATTGACAGAAGCTGAGCATAACTGTATTGTTATATTATTATTATTATTATTATTATAGACACAAAAGCACAGTATGTCACAGCAAACGAGATCTATATGCTGGATTTCATATTATTATTATTATTATTATTATTATTATTATTATTATATTGTTATATTATATATTATTATTAACTGTATTATTAACTGTATTTTTATATTATTATTATTATTATTATTATTATTATTATTTTGATAGAACCTGAGCATGAGCCAGTAGTGTGGCGCTGCACAATGAAGGAAAATCCTATTGTTGTTGTTGTTGTTGTTGTTGTTGTTGTTGTTATTATTATTAATAATAATAATAATAATAATAATATAAATAGAAGTTGAGCATGAGCTGCAACAATGAAGGCAAATCCTATTATTATTATTATTATTATTATTATTTATTAATTATATCAATAGAGGTTGAGCATGAGCCAGTAGTGTGGCGCTGCAGCAAAAGAGGCAAATCCTATTATTATTATTATTATTATTATTATTATTATTATTATTATTATTATATTGACAGAAGCTGAGTATAACTGTATTGTTATATTATTATTATTATTATTATTATTATTATTATTATTATAACTTTATTTGTACCCCGCTAGCATCTCCCAAGGGATTCGATGCGGCTTACACAGGCCGAAGCCCAAAACACAATACAACAATACAGTACCTAAAGCAAATTATTATTATTATTATTACTATTTTGATAGAAGCTGAGCATGAGCCAGTAGTGTGGCACTACACATTGAAGTCAAATCCTATTATTATTATTATTATTATTATTATTAATATCAATAGAAGTTGAGCATGAGCCAGTAGTGTGGCGCTGCAGCAATGAAGGCAAATACTATTATTATTATTATTATTATTATTATTATTATTATTATTATTTTGACAGAAGCTAAGGATAACTATATTGTTACATTATTATTATTATTATTATTAACATTAATATTAATATTATATTGATGCAAGCTGATCATGAGCCAGTAGTGTGGCACTACAGCAAAGGCAGCCGAATACTACTACTACTACTATTATTATTATAATTATTATTATTATTATTTTGACAGAAGCTGAGGATAACTGTATTGTTTTTTATTATTATTATTATTATTTTGACAGAAGCTAAGGATCACTGTATTGTTATATTACTATTATTATTATTATTATTATTATTTTGATAGAAGCTGAGTATGAGCCATTAGTGTGGCACTGCACAATGAAGCTAAATCCTATTATTATTATTATTATTATTATTATTATTATTATTATTATTGTTATTATCAATAGAAGTTGAGCATGAGCCAGTAGTGTGGCGCTACAGCAAAGGCAGCCGAATATTATTATTATTATTATTATTATTATTATTATTATTATATTGACAGAAGTTGAGTATAACTGTATTTTTATATTATTATTATTATTATTATTATTATTATTATTATTATTATAATATTGATACAAGCTGACCATGAGCCAGTAGTGTGGCGCTGCACAAGGAAGGCAAATCCTATTATTATTATTATTATTATTATTATTATTATTATTATTATTTATATAAATAGAAGTTGAGCATGAGCCAGAAGTGTGGCGCTGCAACAATGAAGGCAAATACTATTATTACTATTATTATTATTATTATTATTATTATTATTATTATTGACAGAGATTAATATTTCCTATTATTATTATTATTATTATTATTATTTATTAATTATATCAATAGAGGTTGAGCATGAGCCAGTAGTGTGGCGCTGCAGCAAAAGAGGCAAATCCTATTATTATTATTATTATTATTATTATTATTATTATTATTATTATTATATTGACAGAAGCTGAGTATAACTGTATTGTTATATTATTATTATTATTATTATTATTATTATTATTATTATAACTTTATTTGTACCCCGCTAGCATCTCCCAAGGAGCTGTTTACTGATATATTATTTATTTATTAATTATTATTATTATTTTATTAGTATTATTATTATTATTATTATATTGTTATTATTATATTATTATTATTATTATTATTATTATTATTATTATTATTATATTGATACAAGCTGAGCATGAGGCAGTAGTGTGGTGGTACAGCAAAGAAGGCAAATATTATTATTATTATTATTATTATTATTATTATTATTATATTGGTTTCAGTATGCTACTGCAGCAGTCCTTTCTGGGGAGAAAGGCAGGCTGCAAATGCAACTAAGTTCGGACTAAAACCCAGTGCGGTGCTCCTTCTGTCCCGACAGCGGTGTGCAGCGGGGAGATCACGGACGCGTCCGGCGTGGTCCTGTCCCCGAACTGGCCGGAGCCCTACGGCAAGGGCCAGGACTGCATCTGGGGCCTCCACGTCGAGGAGGACAAGCGCATCATGCTGGACGTCCAAGTGTGAGTGGGGAACTCGTTGGGGAAAGGAGGGAGGGAAGGAAGGAAGGAAAGGAGAGGAGGAGAAAGGAAAAGAAAGAAGAAAGAGAAAGAAGGAGAGAGGAAAAGGAAGGAAGGAGGAAAGGAAGGAAGGAAGGAAAGGGAGGAGGGAGGGAGGAAGGGAGGAGGGAGGGAGGAGGGAGGGAGGGAAGGAAAAAGAAGGAGGAAGAGAAGGAAGGAAAAGAAGAGAAGGAAGAAAGAAAAGAAAGAAAGAAGAAAGAAAGGAAGAAGAAGGAATGAAGGATGAAAGGAAGGAAGGGAAGAGAAAGAAGAAAGAAGAAGAAAGGAAAGAAGGAAGGAAATAAAGAGAAGAGAGAAAGGAAGGAAGGAAGGAAGAAGGAAGGAAGGGGAAGGAGGAAGGAAGAAGGAAGGAGAGAGAAGAGAGAGAAGAAAGAAAAGAAAAAAAAAAGAAGGAAAAAAGGAGGAAGGAGGAGAAAAAAGAAGGAAAGAAAGAAAGAAAGAAAGAAGAAAGAGAAGAAGGAAGGAAAGGAAGAGAGGGAAGGAGGAAGGAAGGAAGGAAAGAAGGAAAAGGAAGAAGGAAGAGGAGAGAGAAAAGAAAAGGAAAGAAAAAGAAGGAAAGGAAAGAAAGAAGGAAGGAAGGATGAAAAAGGAAGGAAGGGAAGATAAGAAAGGAAGAAAGACAGACAGAAAGGAAAGAAGGAAGGATGAAAGAAAGAGAGAGAGAGAGAAAGGAAGGAAGGAAGGAAGGAAGGAAGGAAGGAAGGAGGAAGGAAAAGGAAGGAAGGAAAGGGAGGAAGAGAGGGAAGGAAAAAAAAGGAAGAAGGAAGAAGAAAGGAAAAGAAAGAAAGAAAGAAGGAGAAAGGGAAAGAAGGAAGGAAGGAAGGAAGGAAGGAAAGAAAGATAGGCAGGCAGGCAGGCAGGCAGGCAGGCAGGCAGGAAGGAAGGAAGGAAGGAAGGAAGGAAGGAAGGAAGGAAGGAAGGAAGGGGAGAGAAGAAAGAAGGAAGAAAGGAAGGAAGAAGAAGGAAGAAAGGGAAAAGGAAGGAGGAAAAAGAAGGAAGAGAGAAGAAGAAGGAAAGAAGGAAGGAAGAAAAGAGAGAAGGAGAAGAGGAAGGAAGGAGAAGGAAGGAAAGGAAGGAAGAGGAAGAAGGGAGATGAAGGAGGAAGAGAAGGATGGAGGGAAGGAGGGAGGAAGGAAGGAAAGATGGAAGGAAGGAAGGAAGGGGGCAAAGGAAGGATGGAAGGAAGGGAAGGAGGAAGGTAGGAAAAAGAGAAAGAAGGAAGGGAGGAAGAGAAGGAAAGAAGGAAGGAAGAGAAGGAGGAAGGAAGGAAAGATAAGGGAAGGAAGCAAGGAAGGACTGAAGGAAGGGTGGAAGGAAGGAAGGATGGAAGGAAGGAAGGAAGGAAGGAAGGAAGGAAGGAAGGAAGGAAGGAAGGAGAAAGATAGGCAGGCAGGCAGGCAGGCAGGCAGGCAGGCAGGCAGGCAGGAAGGAAGGAAGGAAGGAAGGAAGGAAGGAAGGAAGGAAGGAAGGAGAGAAGGAGAGAAGGAAAGAACCCAGAACGCATGGGACTGTGGCTCGGAGCCCACTGGGTGCCTTTAGGGGAGCCTCACTCTCTCAGCCTCGGGGGAGAGAAAGGCCCTTCCCCTTGGGATCCATCTTGACCAGAAAGCTCTGGGCAAGGGACATCCTGAGCCCGGAGGGCCCACAAGACCCACAATCCCCATTGCCCACGAGGAATGGCGTCTCTCATGGGGGGGGGGGGCTTGTTTCTTCATTGTCCACCTGGTGCTGTCCTTGCAGCCTGCGCTTGGGCCAGGGGGACGTGCTGACCTTCTACGACGGGGACGACCTGACGGCGCACATCCTGGGCCAGTTCTCGGGCCCACGCCGGCGCTTCCGCCTCTTCACCTCCATGGCCGACGTCACCGTCCAGTTCCAGTCGGACCCCGGGAGCAGTGGACTGGGCTACCAGCATGGCTTCGTCATCCACTTTGCCGGTGAGTGCCCACCCTGGGGAAAGCCTGGAATGTGGGCAAAAACGTGGCCAAAAGTGAGACGTGGCCCGAAACGCGGCCAAAAGTGGGTCGCGGCCCGAAACGTGGCCAAAAGTGGGACGTGGCCCGAAACATGGCCAAAAGTGGGACGTGGCCCGAAACGTGGCCAAACGGTTCTTTCTGGTGCAGAGGTGCCCCGCAACGACACCTGCCCGGAGCTCCCCGAAATCCCCAACGGCTGGAAGACGTCCTCGCACCCGGAGCTGGTCCACGGCACGGTGGTCACCTACCACTGCTACCCGGGCTACGAGCTGGTGGGCACAGAGCTGCTGATGTGCCACTGGGACCTGGTCTGGAGCGGAGACCTGCCCTCCTGCCAGAGAGGTAGGTGGCACACCTGGCCAGGATGGCCTCCACGATGTCCACCTGCCACACCTGTCACAGCATGGAGATCCCTCTCCAAATCTGGACCAAGGGCTCCCCCTGCCGGCCACAGGGAATCCTACACGCTGGGTGTTGTGGACTCCGACTCCCACCATTCCTAACAGCCTTTCCTTGCAGTGACCGCTTGCCACGACCCGGGAGAGGTGGAGCACAGCCGGCGCGTGGTCTCCCAGGAGGGCTTCCCCGTGGGCGCCACCGTCCACTTCCTCTGCGACAAGGGATACGTCCTGGCCGGGAGCCCCGAGATCGCCTGCCACGACCGCCAGGCCGGTGGGCCCAAGTGGAGTGACCGCCTGCCCAAGTGCATCCGTAAGCCCCACCACAGCCCCTGAGGGACACCCAAGGGGCACCCCAGGGGGCATCTAGTCCAGCCCCCCTTTCAACAGGCGGATAGTCCAAGGCCTCCTGAGAGATGGGTGTCCAGCCTCAGGTCACAAAACTCCAGAGATGGAGGCGCCACTGGACTCACTAGTCCAACCCTCTTTGGACAGGAGAATAGTCCAAGCCCTCCTGAGAGATGACCATCCTGCCTTAGGTCAGAAAACTCCAGAGATGGAGGCACCATTGGACACTAAAGTTGAAAGGGACCCCCAGAGGGCATCTAGTCTAACCCTCTGTGGACAGGCGGATAGTCCAAGCCCTCCTGAATGATGTCCATCCAGTCTCAGTTCAGAAAACTCCGGGGAAGGAGGCTCCATTGGACACTAGAGTTGGAAGTGACTCCCAGAGGGCATCTAGTCCAACCTTCTTTGGACAGGCAGATAGTCCAAGCCCTCCTGAGAGATGACCATTCAGCCTCAGGTCAGAAAACTCCAAAGATGGAGGCTCCATTGGTCTATAACTCACTAAAGTTGAAAGGGACCCCCAAAGGGCATCTAGTCCAACCCACTTTGGACAGGTGGATAGTCTAAGCCCTCCCAAGAGATGGCCATCCAGCCTTAGGTTAGAAGCCTCCAGAGATAGAGGTCCCATTGGACTCCCAGGCAATCGATACCTCACTAGTTGAAAGGGTCCCCCAAAGGGCATCTAGACCAACCCCCTTTGGACAGGGAGAAAGCCCAAGCTCTCCCGAGAGATGACCATCCAGCTTAAGGTCAAAAAACTCCAGAGATGGCGGCTCCATTGGACTCCTAAGCAGTCCATATCTCACTAGAGTTGGAAGGGACCCCCAGAGGGTATCTAGTCCAACTCCCCTTGGACAGGCGGAAAGTCCAAGCCCTCCTGAGAGATGGACTCCCAGGGGGTCTAATCCTCACTAGACTTGGAAGGGACCCCGGAGGGCATCTAGTCCAACCCCCTTTGGACAGGCAGAAAATCAGCACCCTCCTGAGAGATGGCCATCCAGTCAACTCCAGAGAAGACAGCTCCATTGGACTCCCAGGGGGTCTATTCCTCACTAGAGTTGAAAGGGTCCCCCAGAGGGCATCTAGACGAGCCAGCCCCCTTTGGGCAGGCAGGAAATCACTATCAAAGCCCTCCTGAGAGATGGTCATCCAGCCTTAGTTCAGAAACCTCCAGAGATAGAGGTTCCATTGGACTCCCGGACAGTCGATACCTCACTAGAGGTGAAAGGGTCCCCCGGAGGGCATCTAGACCAACCCCCTTTGGACAGGTGGATAGTCCAAGCCCTCCTGAGAAATGACCGTCCAGCCTCCGTTCAGCAAACTCCAGAGAAGGAGGCTCCACTGGACTCCTATTCAATCTATATCTCACTAGAGCTGGAAGGGACCCCTCAGAGGGCAGCTAGACCAGCCCCCTTTAGGCCAAGCCCTCCTGAGAGATGGCCATCCAACCTCAGGTCAGTAAACTCCAGAGAAGGAGGCTCCATTGGACTCCCAGGTAGTCTATACCTCACTAGAGTTGAAAGGAAACCCCAGAGGGCATCTAGTCCAACCCTCTTTGGGCGGGCAGGAAATCACTATCAAAGCCCTCCTGACAGATGGCCATTCAGCCAGGGGGGTCTATACTTCACTTGAGTTAGAAGGGACCCCCAGAGGACATCTAGTCCAACCGTCTTTGTACATACTATCAAAGCCCTCCCGACAGATGGCCATTCAGCCTCAGTTCAAAAACCTACATTGGACTCCCAAGGGGTCTATACGTCACTCGGGTTGAAAGACGTATAGACCCCTTGGACAGGCAGAAAGGCAAAGCCCTCCTAAGAGATGGCCATGCAGCTTCCAGACAAAGAGGCTCCATTGGACCTCCAACCAGTCCATACTATATTATATTATTATTATATTATGTTTATATATATATATATATATATATATATATATATATATATATATGCATGCATATATGTATGTATGTATGTATGTATGTATGTATAGTGTGAGACTCTTATAAGGGGTTGGTTTTACTTCCAATGTATGTATATATGTATATGTATGTGTGTGTGTATATATATATATGCATGTATGTATGTATAGTAGATTCTTCTAAGGGGTTGGTTTTACTTCCAATTTGATATATGTATGTATGTATATGTATGTATGTGTGTGTGTGTGTGTGTATATATATATATATATATATATATATATATATATATGCATGTATGTATAGTAGACTCTTATAAGTGGTTGGTTTTACTTCCAATTTGATATATGTATGTATGTATATATATATGTGTGTATATATGTATATATGTATATGTGTATGTATATATATATATATATATATATATATATATATATGCATGCATGCATGTATGTATGTATAGTATGAGACGCTTATAAGGAGTTGGTTTTATTTCCAATTTGATATTTGTATGTATGTATGTGTATGTATGTGCGTGTGTGTGTGTGTATATATATATATATATATATGCATGTATGTATAGTAGACTCTTATAAGCGGTTGGTTTTACTTCCAATTTGATATATGTATGTATGTATATATATATGTGTGTATATATGTATATATGTATATATGTATATGTGTATGTATATATATATATATGCATGCATGTATGTATGTATAGTATGAGACTCTTATAAGGGGTTGGTTTTACTTCCAATTTGATACCAAGACTGAATTGCCATGCCATGAAAGGAAAGCATGTCACCAGCATGAAAAGTTTGCAAAGTTCTGCTCTGTAGGCTCCACAGTTGGACTGGATGGCCTTTTGGGGGGTCCCTGGTTCCTCCTCTGCCATCCCACTTCCCGATCTGTTCTTGAAGCGTCCCGGCTCCTCTCGCCCCCTTCGTCCTCAGCCGGCTTCAATGCCTGCAAAAGGGAGCCAACTCCATCCTGGCTTGTCTTTCTTCCAGCCGAGGTCTACGAACCCTGCCACAACCCTGGGGTCCCCGATCACGGGATGCAGACCCCCGAGAAGAGGGTCTTCCAGGCCGGGGCTTCGCTGCGCTTCTCCTGCGCCACCGGATACGTCCTTTTGGGCAGTGCCAGCCTCCGCTGTGTCCCGGGTCACCCTTCCCAATGGAGCGGGTCCCCGCCCATCTGCAAAGCCGGTGAGTCGTATTCAGATGGATCAATACATAGATCCTATCTGTCAATGGATTGAGTGATTGATCTTTCCTTTGTTGTCATTATTACTATTATTATTATTATTTGGATCCCAACAACGATGCATGTTGTTGTTCTTTCCCAGCTTCTTACGATGAGTTCTACACCAATCGCAACTTGGACGGTAAGAGAAATAAAAGGGGATTCTGGAGCTTGTAATCCTGAATAAGGGGGATTCTGGGACTTGTGATCCCAAATAAGGGGATTCTGGGGCTTGTAATCCCAAATAAAAAGGATTCTGGGGCTTGTAATCCCAAATAAGGGGGATTCTGGGGCTTGTGATCACAAATAATGGGAATCTGGGGCTTGTGATCCCAAATAAGGGGGATTCTGGGGCTTGTGATCCCAAATAAGGATATTCTGGGGTTTGTGATCCCAAATAAGGGGATTCTGGGGTTTTTGATCCCAAATAAGGGGGTTCTGGGGCTTGTGATCCCAAATAAGGGGGATTCTGGGCCTTGTGATCCCAAATAAGGGGATTCTGGGGCTTGTAATCCCAAATAAGGGGGATTCTGAGGCTTGTGATCCCAAATAAGGGGGATTCTGCGGCTTGTGATCCCAAATAGGGGGGATTCTGGGGTTTGTGATCCCAAATAAGGGGGATTCTGGGACTTGTGATCCCAAATAAGGGGGATTCTGGGGCTTGTGATCTCAAATAAAGGGGATTCTGGGGCTTGTGATCCCAAATAAGGGGATGCTGGAGCTTGTGATCCCAAATAAGGATATTCTGGGGTTTGTGATCCTAAATAAGGGGATTCCGGGGTTTTTGATCCCAAATAAGGGGGATTCTGGGGCTTGTGATCCCAAATAAGGGGGATTCTGGGCCTTGTGATCCCAAATAAGGGGGATGCTGGGGCTTGTAATCCCAAATAAGGGGATTCTGGGGCTTGTAATCCCAAATAAGGGGGATTCTGGGGCTTGTGATCCCAAATAAGGGGGATTCTGCGGCTTGTGATCCCAAATAAGGGGGATTCTGGGGTTTGTGATCCCAAATAAGGGGGATTCTGGGACTTGTGATCCCAAATAAGGGGGATTCTGGGACTTGTGATCCCAAATAAGGGGGATTCTGGGGCTTGTGATCTCAAATAAAGGGGATGCTGGGGCTTGTGATCCCAAATAAGGATATTCTGGGGTTTGTGATCCCAAATAAGGGGATTCTGGGGTTTTTGATCCCAAATAAGGGGGATTCTGGGGCTTGTGATCCCAAATAAGGGGGATTCTGGGGCTTGTGATCCCAAATAAGGGGGATGCTGGGGCTTGTAATCCCAAAGAAAGGGGATTCTAAGGCTTGTGATCCCAAATAAAGGGGATTTTGGGGCTTGTGATCCCAAATAAAGGGGATTCTGGGGCTTGTGATCTCAAATAAAGGGGATTCTGGGGCTTGCGATCCCAAATAAGGAGGAATTCTGGGGCTTGTGATCCCAAATAAAGGGGGATTCTGGGGCTTGTGATCCCAAATAAGGGGGATTCTGGGGCTTGTGATCCCAAATAAGGGGGATTCTGGGGCTTGTGATCCCAAATAAGGGGGATTCTGGGGCTTGTGATCCCAAATAAGGGGGATTCTGGGGCTTGTGATCCCAAATAAGGGGATTCTGGGGCTTGTGATCCCAAATAAGGGGATTCTGGGGTTTGTGATCCCAAATAAGGGGGATTCTTGGGCGTGTAATCCCAAATAAGGGGATTCTGGGGCTTGTAATCCCAAACTTTTGGTCCCATTTCTGACCCCGTGCTTTCTTTTCCCCGGTCCAGCCGTGGCCAAAGTGGCGCCGGCCGAGGACCCCCTCCACGGCACCAGTATGGCCTTTGCCATCTTCCTCCCCGTGGCTGCCGTGGCCCTCCTCTTGGGCGCCGTGTACCTCTTCATCTCCAGGTAAGGCTCCCTTGGCAAAAAGGGGGATCGGACGGGGCCTTTTTGGTGGTGACCCCCAATTGCGAGCCACAATTGGTCGGTTTTCCTCCACAGGCACCAAGGCAAGCCCTCTCTGTCCCTGCCGCGGTCGGAGTCGCCCCCCTACGACCACATTGCCGTGGATTCGGCCTTCGACAACCCCACCTACGAGACCGGAGTAAGTGCCAAACCCCTTCCCATATTAGGGAGGGACCCCCAAAGGGCATCTAGTCCACCCTCCCCATATTAAGGAAGGACCCTAGAGATGGAAGGACCCCCAAAGGCCATCTAGTCCACCCTTCCCATATTGAGGAAGGACCCTACAGATGGAAGGGACCTCAAAGGCCATCTAGTCCACCCTCCCCATATTGAGGAAGGGTCTTAGTGATGGAAGGGACCCCCAAAGGCCATCCAGTCCACCCTTCCCATATTAAGGAAGGGTCCTAGTGATGGAAGGGACCCCCAAAGGCCATCCAGTCCACCCTTCCCATATTAAGGAAGGACCCTAGCGAGGGAAGGGGCCCCCAAAGGCCATCCAGTCCACCCTTCCCGTATTAAGGAAGGACCCTAGCAATGGGGACCCCCAAAGGCCATCTAGTCCACCCTTCCCATATTAAGGAAGGACCCTAGAGGTGGAAGGGACCCCCAAAGGCCATCCAGTCCACCCTTCCCATATTAAGGAAGGACCCTAGAGGTGGAAGGGACCCCCAAAGGCCATCTAGTCCACCCTTCCCATATTAAGGAAGGACCCTAGAGGTGGAAGGGACCCCCAAAGGCCATCTAGTCCACCCTTCCCATATTAAGGAAGGACCCTAGAGGTGGAAGGGACCCCCAAAGGCCATCTAGTCCACCCTTCCCATATTAAGGAAGGACCCTAGAGGTGGAAGGGACCCCCAAAGGCCATCTAGTCCACCCTTCCCATATTAAGGAAGGACCCTAGAGGTGGAAGGGACCCCCAAAGGCCATCTAGTCCACCCTTCCCATATTAAGGAAGGACCCTAGAGGTGGAAGGGACCCCCAAAGGCCATCTAGTCCACCCTTCCCATATTAAGGAAGGACCCTAGAGGTGGAAGGGACCCCCAAAGGCCATCTAGTCCACCCTTCCCATATTAAGGAAGGACCCTAGAGGTGGAAGGGACCCCCAAAGGCCATCTAGTCCATCCTTCCCATATTAAGGAAGGACCCTAGAGGTGGAAGGGACCCCCAAAGGCCATCTAGTCCACCCTTCCCATATTAAGGAAGGACCCTAGAGGTGGAAGGGACCCCCAAAGGCCATCCAGCCCACCCTTCCCATATTAAGGAAGGACCCTAGAGGTGGAAGGGACCCCCAAAGGCCATCTAGTCCACCCTTCCCATATTAAGGAAGGACCCTAGAGGTGGAAGGGACCCCCAAAGGCCATCCAGCCCACCCTTCCCATATTAAGGAAGGACCCTAGAGGTGGAAGGGACCCCCAAAGGCCATCTAGTCCACCCTTCCCATATTAAGGAAGGACCCTAGAGGTGGAAGGGACCCCCAAAGGCCATCCAGCCCACCCTTCCCATATTAAGGAAGGACCCTAGAGGTGGAAGGGACCCCCAAAGGCCATCTAGTCCACCCTTCCCATATTAAGGAAGGACCCTAGAGGTGGAAGGGACCCCCAAAGGCCATCTAGTCCACCCTTCCCATATTAAGGAAGGACCCTAGAGGTGGAAGGGACCCCCAAAGGCCATCTAGTCCACCCTTCCCATATTAAGGAAGGACCCTAGAGGTGGAAGGGACCCCCAAAGGCCATCTAGTCCACCCTTCCCATATTAAGGAAGGACCCTAGAGGTGGAAGGGACCCCCAAAGGCCATCTAGTCCACCCTTCCCATATTAAGGAAGGACCCTAGCAATGGGGACCCCCAAAGGCCATCTAGTCCACCCTTCCCATATTAAGGAAGGACCCTAGAGGTGGAAGGGACCCCCAAAGGCCATCTAGTCCACCCTTCCCATATTAAGGAAGGACCCTAGAGGTGGAAGGGACCCCCAAAGGCCATCTAGTCCACCCTTCCCATATTAAGGAAGGACCCTAGCGATGGAAGGGACCCCCAAAGGCCATCCAGTCCACCCTTCCCGTATTAAGGAAGGACCCTAGCAATGGGTACCCCCAAAGGCCATCTAGTCCACCCTTCCCATATTAAGGAAGGACCCTAGAGGTGGAAGGGACCCCCAAAGGCCATCTAGTCCACCCTTCCCATATTAAGGAAGGACCCTAGAGGTGGAAGGGACCCCCAAAGGCCATCTAGTCCACCCTTCCCATATTAAGGAAGGACCCTAGAGGTGGAAGGGACCCCCAAAGGCCATCCAGTCCACCCTTCCCATATTAAGGAAGGACCCTAGAGGTGGAAGGGACCCCCAAAGGCCATCCAGTCCACCCTTCCCATATTAAGGAAGGACCCTAGAGGTGGAAGGGACCCCCAAAGGCCATCTAGTCCACCCTTCCCATATTAAGGAAGGACCCTAGAGGTGGAAGGGACCCCCAAAGGCCATCCAGTCCACCCTTCCCATATTAAGGAAGGACCCTAGAGGTGGAAGGGACCCCCAAAGGCCATCCAGTCCACCCTTCCCATATTAAGGAAGGACCCTAGAGGTGGAAGGGACCCCCAAAGGCCATCTAGTCCACCCTTCCCATATTAAGGAAGGACCCTAGAGATGGAAGGGACCCCCAAAGGCCATCTAGTCCACCCTTCCCATATTAAGGAAGGACCCTAGAGGTGGAAGGGACCCCCAAAGGCCATCTAGTCCACCCTTCCCATATTAAGGAAGGACCCTAGAGGTGGGACCCCCAAAGGCCATCTAGTCCACCCTTCCCATATTAAGGAAGGACCCTAGAGGTGGAAGGGACCCCCAAAGGCCATCTAGTCCACCCTTCCCATATTAAGGAAGGACCCTAGAGGTGGAAGGGACCCCCAAAGGCCATCTAGTCCACCCTTCCCATATTAAGGAAGGACCCTAGAGGTGGAAGGGACCCCCAAAGGCCATCCAGTCCACCCTTCCCATATTAAGGAAGGACCCTAGAGGTGGAAGGGACCCCCAAAGGCCATCTAGTCCACCCTTCCCATATTAAGGAAGGACCCTAGAGATGGAAGGGACCCCCAAAGGCCATCTAGTCCACCCTTCCCATATGGAGGAAGGACCCTAGTGATGGAAGGGACCCCCAAAGGCCATCCAGTCCACCCTTCCCATATTAAGGAAGGACCCTAGAGATGGAAGGGACCCCCAAAGGCCATCTAGTCCACCCTTCCCATATTAAGGAAGGACCCTAGAGGTGGAAGGGACCCCCAAAGGCCATCCAGTCCACCCTTCCCATATTAAGGAAGGACCCTAGAGATGGAAGGGACCCCCAAAGGCCATGTAGTCCACCCTCTCCATATTAGGGAAGGACCCTAGCGATGGAAGGGACCCCCAAAGGCCATCTAGTCCACCCTCTCCATATTAGGGAAGGGTCCTAGTGATGGAAGGGACCCCCGAAGGTCATCTAGTCCACCCTTCCCATATTAAGGAAGGACCCTAGTGATGGAAGGGACCCCCAAAGGCCATCCAGCCCCACCTAGGGAGTGGGGAGGGGGTTACGGTCCCCAAAAAGCACCCCGCCCAACCCTCTGCAGGCTTTTTTCTCTGCAGGACCTGCGGGAGTATGAAGTCTCCATTTAGGGCAGACTGGCCCTCGAAGGAGCCGGAAGGGAGACCTCCGGACCCCCAAACTGACCGACTGGCTGGACCATGGCAAAGCGGACTTGTACATAGCCCCCCACCCCACCCCTCCCGCCCTCAAGATCTGGAGCCAGAAGAGGACTCTCGAACCTGGGACTCGTCGTCGCCTTGCAATCCACTGCCCCCCCCCCCGAAAAAATGTGGGTCCCGAAACCCGTATTATGGAAGGCCCCCCCCTATAGTTACCCATTCAAACCGCCCGACGCCATGTTTTTTTTCCTTTTGTACATCAAGTTCAATTTAAGAGCCGTTAAATGGATGCAGAGCAGAGTGGAGGGTGAGTCCTGGCTCCCAGATTGGAAAAAGGGGGAAACGGGGCCATGGAAAGTCTTGGCTCGAGAAATCAATGGGGAAACTTCATCTCCCCGTCCCCTTTTTTTTAGAAAGACACTATAATTCTCTGTTTTAGTCCAGTCCAGCAAGACCTCCACTCATTTGAATCCCATCTCTCCAAAAGCTTTGCAAAATAGCACCATTTTTCTTCAAACCTTGGGGACCAACTCTGTTGGGAATTGTAGTTCAGCCCAAAATGTATATGGGTCTTGAAGGAACTACAACTCCCACCAGACCTGTAGTCAGGTCCCCAAGCGCTATGTTGACCGGGGCAGCTGGGAGTCCAAAATGTATGTGGCTCTTGAGGGAACTACAACTCCCAGCTGCCCTGGTCAACATAGTGTTTGGGGACCTGACTACAGGTCTGTTGGGATTTGTAGTTCAACCCAAAATGTACATGTGTCTTGAGAGAACTACAACTCCCACCTGCCCCGGTCAACATAGTGCTTGGGGACCTGACTACAGGTCTGTTGGGATTTGTAGTTCAACCCAAAATGTACATGTGTCTTGAGAGAACTACAACTCCCACCTGCCCTGGTCAACATAGTGCTTGGGTACCTGACTACAGGTCTGGTGGGAGTTGTAGTTCAACCCAAATGTATGTGGGTCTTGATAGAACTACAACTCTCAACTGCCCCGGTCAACATAGCATTTGGGGACTTGAGTACAGGTCTGGTGGGAGTTGTAGTTCAACCCAAAATATATGTGGCTCTTGTAGGAACTACAACTCCCAGCTGCCCTGGTCAACAAAGCGCTTGGAGACCTGACTACAGGTCTGGTGGGAGTTTTAGTTCAACTCAAAATGTACGTTGGTCTTGAGGGAACTACAACTCCCAGCTGCCCCGGTCAACATTGAGCTTGGCGACCTGACTACAGGTCTGGTGGGAATTGTAGTTCAACACAAAATGTATGTGGGTCTTAATGGAACTACAACTCCCAGCTGCCCCGGTCAACATTGAGCTTGGGGACCTGACTACAGGTCTGGTGGGAGTTGTAGTTCAACCCAAAATACACATGGGTCTTGAGGGAACTACAGCTCCCAGCTGCCCCTATCAACATAGCCCTTGGGGACCTGACTACAGGTCTGGTGGGAATTGTAGTTCAACACAAAATGTATGTGGGTTTTAATGGAACTACAACTCCCAGCTGCCCTGGTCAACATTGAGCTTGGGGACCTGACTACAGGTCTGTTGGGATTTGTAGTTCAACCCAAAATGTACATGTGTCTTGAGAGAACTACAACTCCCACCTGCCCCGGTCAACATAGTGCTTGGGGACCTGACTACAGGTCTGTTGGGATTTGTAGTTCAACCCAAAATGTACATGTGTCTTGAGAGAACTACAACTCCCACCTGCCCTGGTCAACATAGTGCTTGGGAACCTGACTACAGGTCTGGTGGGAGTTGTAGTCCAACCAAAAATGTACGTGGCTCTTGAGGGAACAACAACTCCCAGCGCTGGGATCTCCAGCTGTCGTGGGAACTTCAACTCCCAGGGGAGGAATGATGGGTGTTGCAGTCCACCAATCCTCAGGATCCGTTGAATGCAAATTGATCCTTCCCAAACGGCGGAATCGATGCGGCGGAAGGCGAAAGGAGAAGCCGGGACCTTTTAAGAAGCCATTGTGACGCAAGAAGCCCCTTCCTCGGAGGCGTCCCCTTGGCTCCCTTCTCTATGAGAAGCGGGGCTTGCTTTTTTGGGGAGGGGTCCTCAATGTCTCCTTCTTGGGGGGGGGGCTTTTTAAACCTGTAGAGTTATGTAACATAGTGTTTTCGAGGAATTCGAATCCGGGACCCGTTCGAAGCGGCAAGGGTTGGGGTGGGAGCCGGCCTTTTGGATCGTTTCATGAATAAAGCAGTGTTTTAGAAGACCCCCCTCGCCTGTGGTTCTTTCCCTTCGCCGCGAGGCTGAGATGCTGTGACTCCTGAAGGTCGCCCAAGGGTCGCCCCAAAGTGGGGAGACCTCCCATCTTCCACTTCTTTCTGATCTGCAGAATGGGATTTGTTGTACTGCTCTACACGGCAGGGTTGGCGCGTCTGTCCCAGGAGTTCCTCCTCCACCTGGAATACCAATGGGTTTGAAAACAAAGGACTGCATCATATTGATTTATTATTACATCATAGGGTTGGTGTTGGTTGGCCCTGACCTGTAGGAAGATCAGAAAAATTGTTATTGCTGCTACTATTATATTCTAATATTTTATTTATATTGTTTTATTATTCTATATAATTATATTATATAATATTTCATATTATCTTATTGTTTACCTAAATAATTATATAATGTTTTATATTAATGTATTATTATCCTGTGGAAATATACATAATATTATTATTCTATATAATTATATTTGATTATCCTAAATAATTATATTATATTTAATATTAATTTATTTTTTTCCTATGGAAATATACATTATATTATTATTCTATATAATTATATTATTTTTATATTATTTTATGGTTATCCTAAATAATTATATAATATTTTATATTATTTTATTGATATCCTACTTAATTATATAACATTTTATATTAATTTATTATTATTCAATGGGATTATATTTTATATTATTATTCTATATAATTATATTATTTTTATATTATTTTATTGTTATCCTAAATAATTATATAACATTTTATATTAATTTATTATTATTCTATGGGATTATATTTTATATTATTTTTCTATATAATTATATTTTATATTATTTTATTGATATCCTACTTAATTATATAACATTTTATATTAATTTATTATTATTCAATGGGATTATATTTTATATTATTATTCTATATAATTATATTATTTTTATATTATTTTATTGTTATCCTAAATAATTATATAACATTTTATATTAATTTATTATTATTCAATGGGATTATATTTTATATTATTATTCTATATAATTATATTATTTTTATATTATTTTATTGTTATCCTAAATAATTATATAACATTTTATATTAATTTATTATTATTCTATGGGATTATATTTTATATTATTATTCTATATAATTATATTATTTTTATATTATTTTATTGTTATCCTATATAATTATATAACATTTTATATTAATTTATTATTACTCTATGGGATTATATTTTATATTATTATTCTATATAATTATATTATTTTTATATTATTTTATTGTTATCCTAAATAATTATATAACATTTTATATTAATTTATTATTATTCTATGGGATTATATTTTATATTATTGTTCTATATAATTACATTATATATTTTATATTATTTTATTGTTATCCTAAATAATTGCTACATATTAATTTATTCTATATAATTATATGATATAGTTTATATTATTTTATTATTATTCAAAATGATATATTTTTATTAATTTATTATTATTCATATAATTATATTATATATTAATTTATTTTTATTCTATATTATTCCATTTTATTATTAATCTGTATAATTACATTATATTACGTATTAATTTACATGTTATATTATATATTACTTTATTATTATTCTATGTAATTATATTACATAATTCTTTTTACAATTTACTATAATAATTATATTATTTTATTTTTATTTTTTATTATTATTTTATTATTCTATATGATTATATAATATTTTGGCAATTTAGCATTAATGCTATTACTATTATTACATTATATTACGTATTAATTTACATGTTATATTATATATTACTTTATTATTATTCTATATAATTATATTACATAATTTATTTTACAATTTACTATTATTCATTTATTATATTATTATTTTATTTTTATTATTATTTTATTATTGTATATATAATTTATTATATATATTATATATATATATATATATATATTATATTTTATTATTGTATATATTATTCTATTATTTTATATCATTATTAGTGTTTATTACTATATAGATCTCGCAGAGGTGTGAACAGAACCGGAAGCATCCATCGCGAACACAATTGCCGTTCCCCTCGACCCATTAGCCCGCTCAGTTATATTTTTTTTCCTGCGCGTGCGCTGTCTGCGCCCCGGCGGGGGAGCTTTCTGCGCACGCGCGAACGTCAAAGAAGCCCATTCTTTGCGAGGGGAGGGGAAGAAGAAACAGTCCAGCTGCGCGCGTGCGCACTAGCAACGCGCGGAGGGGTAGAACGCGCATGCGCAGAAGGGACCCTGAAAGGGGAGAGTGGGGAAAGGGCGGGAAACTACATTTGTACACACACACACACACACACATATATATATTCATATTTTACATATATTAAAGGAAGAATAAAGAGATAAAAACTAGATATAGACCTCATATTATTAAATACAGATGTGTATATATTTGTTGTTCATTCGTTCAGTCGTATTTTAATAAAATAGCATGTAATTAAAAATTAATATGTATTGTAATTATTTAGAATCATAATAAATATATAATATTATATAATTATTTGGAATAATAAAATAAAATATATGACCTCATAGACCAATCCACGCCAGAGCTCCCTGTTGGCCGTCACCACCCCCAGCTCCTTCAAGTATATTGTATATTGTATATACACACAAACAGTATATGCATATATACATACATATATACTAGATAGTATACACATATAGTACACATAGTATACACACATATAGTAACACACATGTATATACACACACATTTAGTAAGCACACAGTACACAAACATACACACATATAGTACATATAGTATACACATATAATATACAAATATATAATATGCACACATATAGTGTAAACATATATAGTATGCATACATATGCACATATATACAATATACTATACACATATAGTATAAAAACATATATAGTACACCTATATAGTACACACACATAGTATAAGCACATATAGTATACACATATGTACAATATAGTATACGCATATAGCATCCACACATACATACATTCGGCTAATCTGTGGCAATTCGAATATTGATGACTAAGGACAGGAAACATGGACAACGAATTCTGGATTGTGATTTCAACTCGAGCTATATGGGATTATTATTGGTGGCCCAATAATTTGTTATTGTATGTGTATATGTTTTTAAATCGTAGATTGTTTTAACTGCTGTAAACCGCAATGAGTCGCCGTTCCAGGCTGAGATATTAGCGGTATACAAGTGTACCAAATAAATAAATAATAATAGTACATACACATGTAGTATAAACATATATAATATACACATATATACGATAGAGAAGACAATTATGCTGGGGAAAGTGGAAGGCAAAAGGAAGAGGGGCCGACCAAGGGCAAGATGGATGGATGGCATCCTTGAAGTGACTGGACTGACCTTGAGGGAGCTGGGGGTGGTAACGGCCGACAGGGAGCTCTGGCGTGGGCTGGTCCATGAGGTCACGAAGAGTCGGAGACGACTGAACGAATGAACAACATACACATGTAGTATCCACACATACATAGTACACACACATATAGTGTAAACATATATACTATACACACATATGCACATATATACAATATAGTATACGCATATAGTATACACACATATATAGTACATACATATAGTACACACACATAGTATAAGCATATATAGTATACACATATGTACAATATAGTATACGCATATAGTATACACACATATATACAATATAGTATACACATGTAGTATCCACACATACATAGTACACACACATATAGTATAAACATATATAATATACACATATATACGATATAGTATACACATGTAGTATCCACACATACATAGTACACACACATATAGTATAAACATATATAATATATACATATATACGATATAGTATACACATGTAGTATCCACACATACATAGTACACACACATATAGTATAAACATATATAATATACACATATATATGATACAGTATACACATATAGTACACATAGTATACACAAATATAGTACGCACACATATGTATACACAGTACACGCACATATATAGTACATATAGTATCCACACATATATAGTACACACATATAGCACACACATATAGTATAAACATATATAGTATAAACACATATAGTATACACATATAGTATATATTTATTTGTTTATTACATTTCTACTCCCCTTTCTCACTCTGGAGGGGACTCAAAGCACATATAGTATGTACACATATAGTACACATACATATAGTATATACACATATAGTATATTATTATTATAGTATATTATTATATATAGTATACACATAGTATACAGATATAGCATACATATATATTGTGTACACACATCTATACATATCAATGTATAGAAATGTGTGTGTTTTTGCATATATATATACGTCTATCTCTAGATAAATAGATTAGATAGATTAGATAGATTGATAGATAGATTAGATAGATTAGATTAGATAGATAGATAGATAGATAGATAGATAGATTAGATAGATAGATAGATTAGATAGATAGATTAGATAGATAGATTAGATAGATAGATTAGATAGATAGATTAGATAGATAGATTAGATAGATAGATTAGATAGATAGATTAGATAGATAGATTAGATAGATTAGATAGATTAGATAGATAGATTAGATAGATAGATTAGATAGATAGATTAGATAGATAGATAGATAGATTAGATAGGAAGATAGACACACACACGCAGAAAAATGCTTATTTCAAAGATGTCAAATGAGCGAGCGGGCGACAGCGCATGCGTCGAAAAAAGCGGGCGGCCCTGCGCCTGCGCAGAGAGGGAGGCCAGGCGGCTCGAGCGCAAAGAAGGGGCGGGGCGGGGATGAGAAGAAGAAGAAAGAGAGGCGGGGCGGAAAGGGAGGAAACGGCGCATGCGCTGTTTCCTCTCGCAGCCCTCCCTCCTTTCCCCGTCACAACGAACGAAGCGGGTGGCTTGGGCTGTCGGCGCCTGCGCGGTGGCCGCCCTGTGCTGCGCGCATGCGCTGTGTCGGGAGGGCGGTGTGCGCCTGCGCGGCGAGGGCTGTGACGGCGGCGGCGGGGCCCTGTGTGTGAGGGGGAGGCGACGGCGGTGAAGAGTGGAGAGTGATCCCCTCAGGCCCAGCGGGAGAGGAGGAGGAGAAGGAGGAGAAAGAGGGAGCCCGGGCGTCGCCGCCCCCTGTCATGGCCGGGACGAGGCCTAGTCGGCGGGCGGAGAAGGAGGCGAAGGCGGCGAAGGAGGAGGAGGCGTCGCCCCTCAGCTAGGCCTCGGATGTGGGAGAGGATGGAGGCCAAGACGGTCGTCTACGACCTCGACACTTCGGGGGGCCTCATGGAGGTGGGTCAGTCAGGGAGGGAGGCAGGGAGGGAGTGAGTGAGTGAGTGAGGGGACCCTCATCCTTTCCCCCTTCTCCCTTCCCTCTCCACCTCCCCTCACCCTCTCTGTCTCTCCTTCCCTCAGCAAATCCAGGCCCTCCTGGCGCCTCCCCGCAGCGACGACGCCGCCTTGCTCGGGACCGAGAAGAGGAGCCGCAGGACAGAGCGAGGAGGCGGAGGGGGGGAGCCGCACCACCACCACCCCCAGCACCACCACCACCAGCAGCATCACCACCACCACCCCCAGCACCACCACTCCTCCTCCTCGGCCGCCTCCGCCGCCGCCTCGGCCCAGAGGAGGAGCGGGAGGGCCACCAACCACGACAGCTGCGACAGCTGCAAGGAAGGCGGGGACCTGCTCTGCTGCGACCACTGCCCCGCCGCCTTCCACCTCCAGTGCTGGTCAGTCCCTCCCTCCTCAACCCTCCCTCAAGATGATTATTGTGTTTATTTACACGCCTCAAAGGGGAACCCCCCCCTTCCCTCTCCTCTTTCTCCCTTCCCCTCTCTCCCTCTTCTCCCCTTCCTTTTAATATTATTGTATTTGTTTACACACCTCAAAGGGGACCCCCCTTCCCACTCCCTCCATCTATCCCTCCTTCTCTCCTCTTTCTCCCTTCCCACTTTCCTCTCTTCCAAGCTCCCCCCCCCTCAAGATTATTATTGTATTTAGTTACCTCAAAGGGGACCCCCCTTCCCACTCCTTCTCTTCATTCCCCTCTCCTCTCTTACCCTTCCCAATCCCTCCCTCCCTCTCCTCTCTTCCAAGCTCCCTCTCTCCCTCTTCCCCCCTTCCCCTCAATATTATTATTGTGTTTATTTACACACCACAAAGGGGACCCCCCTTCCCTCTAATTCTCTTCCTCCATTCCCTTCTCTCTTCCAAGCTCCCTTCCCCCCCTCCCTCAAGATTATTATTGTGTTTATTTGCATACCTCAAAGGGGAACCCCCCCCCTTTCCAATCCCTCCCTCTCCTCATCTTCCTCCATTCCCCTCTCCTCTCTTCCAAGCTCCATTCCCCTCTCCTCTCCCTCTTCTCCCCTTCCTTCCAATATTATTGTTTATTTACACACCTCAAAGGGGAACCCCCCTTCCCACTCCCTGCCTCTCCTCTCTTCCAAGCTCCATTCCCCCCTCTCTCCCTCTTCCTACTATCCTTCTCTTCATTCCCCTCTCCTCTCTTCCAAGCTCCATTGTGCCCCTCTCCCCCCTCTTCCTACTAACCCTTCAATAATTATTATTATAATTATAATTATATTATATTTGTTTATACTTTATCAACTCAAAGGGGAACCCCTTCTCACTCCCTTCATCCATCCATCCATCCCTCTCCTTCTCTTTTCTTTCACCCTTCCCCCTCTCCTCTCTTCCAAGCTCCATTTCACCCATCTCTCCCTCTTCTCCCCTTCCAAGATTATTATTGTGTTTATTTACACAACTCAAAAGAGATCCCCATCCCACTCCATCCATCTCTCTCCTCTTCTCTTCCAAGCTCCATTCTCCCTCTTCCTCCATTCCCCTCTCCTCTCTTCCAAGCTCCATTTTGCCCCTCTCTCCCTCTTCTCCCCTTCCTTCCAATATTATTATTGTGTTTATTTACACACCTCAAAGGGGACCCCCCCTTCCCACTCCATCCACCCCTCTCCTCTTCTCTTCCTCCATTCCCTCTCTCCTCTCTTCCAAGCTTCATTGTGCCCCTCTCCCTCGGGATTATTATTGTATTTATTTACATACCTCAAAGGGGATCCCCCTTCCCTCTCCTTCTCTTCCTCCATTCCCTTCTCTCTTCCAAACTCCATTTTGCCCCTCTCTCCCTCTTCCCCTCAATATTATTATTGTGTTTATTTACACACCTCAAAGGGGACCCCTCTTCCCACTCCCTTCCTCCCTCGCCTTCTCTTCTCTTCCTCCATTCCCCTTCTCTTCCAAGCTCCATTCCCCCCCCTCTTCTCCCCTTCCCCTCAATATTATTATTGTGTTTATTTATACACCTCAAAGGGGACCCCCTTCCCACTCCTCTTCTCTTCCAAGCTCCATTCTCCCTCTTCCTCCATTCCCCTCTCCTCTCTTCCAAGCTCCATTTTGCCCCTCTCTCCCTCTTCTCCCCTTCCTTCCAATATTATTATTGTGTTTATTTACACACCTCAAAGGGGACCCCCCCTTCCCACTCCATCCACCCCTCTCCTCTTCTCTTCCTCCATTCCCTGCTCTCTTTCAAGTTCCGTTTTTGCCCCTCTCTCCCTCTTCCCCCCTTCCCCTCAATATTCTTATTGTATTTATTTACACACCTCAAAGGGGACCCCCATCCCACTCCATCCATCTCTCTCTCTCCTTCTCTTTTCTTCCTCCCTTCCCTCTCCTCTCTTCCAAGCTCCATTTTGCCCCTCCCTCTTCCTCCCCCTGATTTTTATTGTATTTATATACACACCTCAAAGGGGACCCCCCTTCCCTCTCCTCTCTTCCAAGCTCCCTTCCCCCCCCCTCTCTCCCTCTTCCTCCCTTCAGTATTATTATTATTATTATTATTATTGTATTTATTTATACACCTCAAAGGGGACCCCCTTCCCACTCCCTCCCTCTATCTTTCTCCTTCTCTTTCTCCATTCCTCCTCTCCTCTCTTCCAAGCTCCATTTTGCCCCTCTCCCCCACTTCCTACTTTCCCTTCAATCTTTTATTATTATTATTATTATTATTATTATTATTATTATTGTTGTATTTGTTTACACACTTTATCAACTCAAAGGGGATCCCTTCCCACTCCCTCCATCCATCTCCTTCTCTTCCTCCCTTCCCCCTCTCCTCTCTTCCAAGTTCCACTTCACCCATCTCTCCCTCTTCCCTTCAGTATTATTATTGTGTTTATTTACACACCTCAAAGGGGTCCCCCCCTTCCCTCTCCCCCATCCCTCTCCTTTCCACCCTTCCTCTTCTCCTTCTCTCTTCTCTCCCAAACACCTTTTCACCCAGATCCCCCTCATCCTACCTTCCTTTCCCTTCCCTTCTTTTCTCTTTGTCCCTTCCCCCTTTCCACTCTTCCAAGCTCCATTTCCCCCCTCTCTTCCTCTTCCCCGCTTCCCTTCAATATTATTATTGTGTTTATTTATACACCTCAAAGTGGACCCCCCTTCCCACTCCCTCCATCCCTCTCCTTCTCTTCTCTTCCTCCATTCCCCCTCTCCATTCTTCCAGGATCCATTTCACCCCTCTTCCTCTCTTCCCTTCAATACTATTATTAGTAGTAGTAGTATGTTTGTTTACACACCACTTTATCAACTGAAAGGGGACCCCCCCCCCGCCCTTCCCATTCGCTTCATCCATCCATTCTTTTCCTCCATTTCCCCTATTCTCTCCCCAACACCTTTTCACCCAGATCCTACCTTCCCTTCCCTTATCCCTCCTTTCTCTTCCCTTCCCTTCCTCCATTCCCCCTCTCCACTCTTCCAAGATCCACTTCACCCAAGTCCCTTTGGGGAGATGATGGCAGGATATAACAATATACTTGTTATTATTCTTGTTATCATCGCTCCCTCTTCCTACCCTTCCTTCACCCTTTCCTTTCTCTTCTCTTCTTTTCACTTTTTCCGCTCTTCCAAGCTCAATTTTGCCCATCTTCCCCTCTTCCTTCCTTCCCTCCCTTCATCCATCCTTCAATCCACCCCCTTCCTTTCTCTTCTTTTCTTCCTCCGTTCCCTCCCTCCTCTTCTCTTTCATCCTACCTTTCCTTCCCCTCTCCTTTCCCATCCTTCTTTTCCTTTCCCTTCTTTTCCTCCATTCCCCCTCTCCTCTTTTCCAAACTCTGTTTTACCCATCTCCCTCTTCCTACCTTCCCTTCTCTTCATTCCTCCTCCTCATTCTTCCAAGCTCTATTTCGCTCAAGTCCCTTTGGGGACATGATGGCAGGATAGAAGAATATAGCTGTTGTTATTATTATCTCTCCCTCTTCCTACCCTCTCTTCACCTCCTCCTCTCCCTTCTTTTCACTTCCTCCGTTTCCTACCTTCTCTTCATCCATCCATGCATCCATCCTTTCCCTTCTCTTCTTTTCCTCCCTTCCCCCTCTCCTCCTCTCTTCACTCCCCAATGCCTTTACACCCATGTCCCCTCATCCTACCTTCCCTTTATCGCTCCTCTCCCTTCCTTTCATCTCTTCCTTTTTCATCCCTTCCCTTCTTTTCTCTTCCTCCACCCCCCTCTCCACTTTTCTCAGCTCCATTTGTCCATCTCCCCCTCTTCCTACCTTCCCTTCATCCATCCATCCTTTCCCTTCTCTTCTTTTCCTCCTTTCCCACTCCTCTCTTCTCTCCCCAACACCTTTTCAACACCTTTTCCCCTCTTCCTATCTTCACTTCCCTTCCCCCTCCTTTGCCTTCCCTTCCCTTCTCTTCCTCCATTCCCTCCTCCTCTCTTTTAAGCTCAATTTCAACTATGTCTCCCTCTTCCTGCCTTCCCTCCATCATCATCATCATCACCATTATTATTGACACAAAAGCACAGTATGTCACAGCAACCGAGATCTATATGGTGGATTTCGTATCACAAAATCACAAGTCAAACACTTCCCAAGCGCCTAGGACTGTGTGAATGTATATTATTATTATTATTATTATTATTATTATTATTATTATTATTACTTCACTTTATCAACTCAAAGGGTACCCCCCTTCCTGTTTCCTCCATCCCTTTCTCTTCTCTTCCTCCTTTCCCTCTCCTCATCTTCTTTTCCCAACTACATTTCATCCATGTCCCCTTCTTCTTCCCTTCACCCTCCTTTCCTTCCTCTTCCTCCATTCCCCCCTCTCTTCTTGCCCTCTATCTACCTTCCCTTCACCCCCTTCCTTCCCTTATCCCTCCAGCCATCCATCCGTCCTTCCCTTTCCCTTCTCTTCTCTCCCCAACATCCTACTTCCTTTCCCCTCTTTTCCCTTTTTCCCTTCTCTTCCTTTCTCATCCCTTTCTTTCTCTTCCCTTCTTTTCTCTTGCTCCATTCCCCCCTCTTCTTTTTCAAGCTCCACTTTGCCTCTATTATTATTATTATTATTATTATACACTTATATTTATTTAGATTCCCATTCCCGTCATCCATCAGTCCTTCCCCATCCCTTCTTTTCTTTTCTCCCTTCTCCTCTCTTCTCTCCCCCGCGTCTTACCTTCCGTTACCCCTCCATACTTTTCATTCCCTTCTTTTATCTTCCTCTACCCCCCTCTCTTCCAAACTCCATTTTGCCTGTCTCACCCTCTTCCTGCCTTCCCTTCACCCCCTTCCCTTCGTCTATTAATCCTTCCCTTTCCCCTCTCTTCTCTCCCCAAAGCCATTTCACCCATCGTCTTCCCTTCCCCCTCCTTTCCCTTCCTTTCTTTCCCTTCCTTTCTCTTCATCCATTCCCCTTCCTCTCTTCCAAG